GGGAAGTTAGAATGAACTTGTGACTTTGAAATCATGTAATCATTTAATCACAATCAAAAAAAAAAAAAAAAAAAAAAGAACCTCGGGGAAGGGAGGGAGGGAGGGGATGGTAGGGGGAAAACAATGGAGGGGGTAACAATGTTCAAGAGGAAGTGTACTCATAACCTCACTCATGTAACTGTGACCCTCTGTATAGTAGCTTTACAATAAAAAAAAAATAAAATAAAAAAAAAAAAATAAAATATTTTCCCCCTCAAAAAAAAAAAAAAAAAAAAAATCAGTTGTAACAGAGAGAGCAAAGAAGGATATCCTAAGGAGAAGATCACAACGGCTTAGAAGCTATGTGCATATGATCAAATAAAATGATGCTTATCAACATGAACTCAAAGAAATAGAAACAAGAGGTTTTTTATTTTACTTTTTGTGGTTCTTTTTCATGTGTTTTCTTCCCTTTTGCCACTGCTTTTGATTTCTGTATCTTTTGTCTTGTATGTTTGTTATCTGATTTGGGCAGGGGAAGGGGAAGCACAGAAACAGTGAGATAAAAGGTGAACTAGTTCAGCAGTGATACTCACTAGACATTACGTTGGAAATGAACTATGCAACTTGTTGGGGAGGGATGTTGGGAGGAAAAAATGAGAGAAAATGAGGGAGAGGAATGACACAGTTCAAAAAGAAATGTACTCATTACTTGACTTATGTAACTGTAACCCCTCTGTACATCATCTTTACAATAACATATTAAAAATAACATGAGATGGGAAGACAGAAGCTAGTTCAGATTAATTAATGCAGTCTAAAACCACACAGTTTACACAGGGAAGAATTACCACAATATGAAGGAATCATCCTAGTTTCAAGATGTGTTCATTTGACCACTACCTGTAAAATCTCCCCCTGACAGGTGAGGGAGGATCAGTTCACCTTGTATAGGTGGGTGAAAAGCTTTTGTGCATCTTGTACATCACATTCTGTAGATGCTTCTTCCTAGTTCAACTTGGAATTTAAAATAGCTTTCCCATGACAATAATTCGGCTAGTATTATTGGCAGGAATTTCAAAGAAATGTTTCAGGCATGAGCTAGCTCTCTCAGACTAGATGAAGGGGAAGGACTAAAGGTTACTATTATCGTGGAAAACAAATTCCTTGGCAAGGAGAGTAGAGGTGGGGGGGGGGGGTGGATTCAGGAATTCCAGAAAGGGCTGTGAAAATATAGTTTGGGATTGCTACTGCTGAGTCTACTATTAACCAATCACTCTGACCTTGAGACTGGGGCTGCATCATTCTTACTGCAATTTATTTACACACACACACACACACGGTAAGGGTCGCATGCACGCACATCCTGGAACACACACAGGCCATCCAATTCAGGATGGTGCCATCAGGAAATCCCGGATGGAACACCCAGAAAAAGCAGAACCCTGAAGGGACTAAATTGACAGCTGGAGACGCTCTACGCATGCGCGCGCGTGGAGGACCGGAGCTAGACGGCGCTCTGTCTCGCCTCGGCCGCTCTAGGCTCCCCGCGCGCGCCCCGCCCCTCGCCGCCCTCCTCGCACCCAGAAAGGCGGAAGCTGCGCGTTCGGGGCGGGGCGGGGCTGAGTTTCCCGGTGTTGGGTGGACGCGGTGGCGGCGGCCCGGGGGCCGGGAAGTTGGCATCGGGGCCTCCTCCCCTTGGTGCCCCCAGTAGATCCTCCCGGCGCCTCGGCTGGGGAACGGAGGCATGAGACCTGGGGGAACCTTACCCGGCGGCCCGGCGTCCTAGAGCGGTGAGTGGGCCTGACACCTGACCTCCCGGCCGGCCTGGCTTCCCTCGGGTCCGGGAGCCGCCCCCTGACCCAGTCCCTTCGCTCCCCACGGGGGGTCTGGACGCCGCCCCGGGTCCCTTCGCCGCCCGCGGGTCACCCCCGGTCCCCTCCTCCTCTCGGCTTCCGGGGTCCCCCCCTTCGATCACCCCGCTCCCGGGGTGGGGGTGAGGGCGCCCCTGCGGCCCCAGCCCGTCCTCCCCTCGCCCCCGCCCCTTCTCCTTCCGAGGACCGACCAGAGATCGCCCTTTGGAGTTTCCCGTCCTTCCAACTTCAGTTCAAAACCAGAACAAGAACAGCGACATTCCCTTTCGATCCCCAGCGCCTCCTCGCGCGGCCAGCGTCCGGAGGAAAGCTCTTTCCGAGTTCCTGGCTGAACTTTGGGGGGAGGGTGTCAAGAAATTAGGTGACACCCATGTTCCACCCCCACCCCCACCCCCTGCCCCGGATCTCTGTCGTGGTAGCGATTGTTCCAGACGCTGGGTTGATACAAAGCTGTTGCTACTCAGGGGGAACTCCAGCTGGGACTGAGGACTGTCTTGAACGTGAAGGGAAAAGCACCCCAGAGTCTCGGCAGCTCTGAATGTGTAGGTTTTGATTGCTCCTCGGAGAGCAGATTACTGTCTTGTTCCACAGGTCTAGAAAACGAGAACAACTCGTTGAAGAGATTCTGAAGTGTTGGCTTGGATGCACTTGGTCGCTGGCATGTTTCTCCTTTCCCATTAGGGAAGGTAAAGGGACTTTTCTGACTTTGAGGTTGGGGGTTGGAGGAAGGACTGTGGACTCTGGTGACTCAGGGAGAAAAAAAAAAATGTATTTTAGGCGTTAGTTGCCCATGTCACGGGTGCGAGGGTCACCTAGGAGTTTTCATCTTGGTGCACTCAACCATGTGTTTTTGTGTTATTTCAGAAGTAGAACCCGAAGAGGTGTCTGTGATGAAATTTTCATACCTGGTGGCTGATAAATTCTCAGCCCCTTGGTTTACAAGAGAACTCATTCAAATCATTGACCCTTGGAAGGAAATAAGTAGTGCCTCAGAAAGGAAATGCACCTTGAATTTAGATTCACTGTGGGGCTGGGAAGGTGGCTCTGTGGTAGAGTGCTTGCCTTGCATGCCTGAGGCCCTGGGTTCGATTCCTCAGCACCACATAAACAAAAAGAAAAAAGCCAGAAGTGGCCTTGTGGCTCAAGGGGTAGAGCACTAGCCTTGAGCCAAAGAGCTGAGGGACAGTGCCCAGGCCCAGAATTCAGGCCCCATGACCGGACCCCCCCCCCCCAAAAAAAAAAAAACCCAAATTGTATACTGCTGGGAAGGTGGCTCAGTGGTAGAGTGCTCGCCTTGTAGATTCACTGTGATAATACTTGAATAGCTTTTTGTTGTTGTTTTTCAGCATCTCTTGATTCCCTATTGTTGCACATTTTCAGCATAGATTTTTTAAGGAATTGGTAAATAGTTCCTGTAGTAGCTGGTTGGAGGTGATTTATGGGTATTTTCTTTACATGAAAGTAATTTCCCAGAATTTTCTTTTGCGTTACTTTATATGTTGACCTATGTATGTTTTTCGGTTACAAGCTACTAAGCATGGCATAAGTTGTTGATTCCTTTTACTTTACAAATTTCTATCGTACCATAAGTAGGCCTTAGAAGAACAAGTTTTTGTGGATTACCCTACCTCGCCCCTAAGCAGTACTATTTTTGGATTATAATGGATTCCCAGTTTCTAATTTGCAGGTTTTACAAGGCTAATTTCAATAGTCATTCATTTTGCAATCAAAATAAGTTGATGGTGGTTACATCTCCACAATAACTAATTAAAGCAGCACTTACCATACTGGATTCCCACCTGCAAGAAAGGAATGCAACTCTAAAGCTCTTAAAAGTTAAAGAACCATTTAAACTTTGTTCCCTACACTCTATTAATTCATGTAGGGGAAAAAAACACGTAAGTAAATAGAAAAGAAGCAGTAAAGAAATATTAAAGTAATAGTAACTATTTTAACATACCTGTAGCCCTCTCTTGTAGTGGCCGAGGTGGGTAATTTGTTTAAATAAAAAAAACACAAAAATACTATATGACACTTAATGCTGGTTAACTTTATTTTCTGTTTGCAGGCTAGTTACAGGGTACTATAGACTGGAGAGGGTGGCTGTCTAAAAATGTTTATTTGGATGCTGTACGGCTTGTGTGTTTATGTCTTAAAGCAGGGAATTCCTGTTAAGGACTTAGGACTGAGTAGGCAGGATTTCCTAGGAACACATAGCTATTAACTTGTGAGTTTTTAAACTGGACAGGAAGAAAGCAATGTATAGACCATCAGTAAACTAAATTTTAAACTGGACATTTGGGCAGAAAGGTACACCCAGAGTTGGGTGCTGGTGGTTCACACCTGTGATACTAATCTCTCAGGAAACTGTGCTGTAAGAATCATGATTGGAAGCCAGCCCAGGCAGGAGCTGTGGCTCAAATAGTACAGTGTTAGCATTGAGCAAAAAAGCTTAGGGACAGCACCCAGACCCAGAGTTCAAGCCCCAGGACTGGCACAGGAAAAAAAAAAAGATACACTCAGTTTAGTCATATTTGCTATACAACTATTAATTTCTCAAAAGTAATCTACTTTAAAAATAAAATAGTTAAAGACAAAAGATAAATCTGTCTGATGTTGTTGAAGGTATAGGAAATGGGATTTCTCACGTATACTCTGTGGAAATGAAAATTAGAAAATCTCATCATCTATCAGAAAGCTTAGAAAGTTACAGATCTTTGGACCCAACAAGTCTACTTCTAGGAAATGTACCTGAGTAAATAATTGGACACAATAATGTATATAGGAAAGAAAAATAAGAAGGGATATATACCCTGGTGTGGCATAACTCATTTGTGCTAGGATTGAAGGTGGAGAGAGGCAGTAATACTATGCTAGTATACAACTGTCTCCTGTTCTTCTTTCCTTTCAATCTGTATGCACTTTTCTAATGTCTAAATTGGATATTACAAGGCATTGGGAGCTATTTTTAACTTTTAACAAAAATATATCAAAACTAAACAAGAAAATAAAATGCTGCGCTTTTCTATTGACTTTTTAGAATTCCATCAACTCAGTGTAACAGTGCTGGACAGCTCATATTTATAGTATCTATTATAATCAGAATAAAGAAAAAGTCTTAAGTGCTGCTTGGTAAAATGAATTGCTCAGAACACAGATGAACATAATATGTTACTTATTAATACTGGTTTCTTAATCTTTTTAAGCTCCATAGTATCCGCTTTGATAAGTGAGGCCAATATAATTATTAAGCAAAGGACTATATAAAGCTATATGAAATAATAATTTGCTTTTACTGCCTGGTACTGCTATAGATTTGCACATAATAATCATTTAATCCTTGCTGTAACTCTCAGGTGAGTCTTATTGTTAACTGTGTTTACAGTGAGGAAATTGAACCATAGATAGGTTATAGCATTTGCCCAGGTCATATACAGAGTGATAGCGGAAGAGGGGTAAATCCAGACCATGAGATTCTAACCCTTGACCTCTTCACCACTTCCCAGTACTTCCTCTCCCAGAACCATGCCTTACTTATCCTAGGTGCTGATCATCCAGTAGCTCTCAGAATCTCTGACGCAAAGGAGGAATTTTGGTAGTTAAAAGATTAGAAAGTACTACCTTAATGTGGCAGGTAGAATTTTTATATAAAAGTAAGACAAGCTAGGGGATAGTATTGACTGGAAGTTTTTGAGAACTGTATCTAGCATATAATAGGAAATTTCCTCAGAGAACAATTATCTAACATAAAGACATAGTTACACGGGCTGTGGATTGTGTTTAGGCATTAGCAATGCAACTCATCTGCATACCACAACAATTTAGAATTCAAAGATATTGATCTCCTCCTTACAAGAATACTTTTCCATTGGTGAAGAAACCTCACTTGTTTTTTCCATTGATAATGAAACATTGTCACTTGACCTGACTGAACCAGAAGGACGTAAAGATACAGGATTTAAATTCCATTCTTTCTACATAGTAGAAATTCCCACACTGAGCATTTAGAAATCCTCATAGAATTTCTTATCAACAAGAAGAAACCAAGACCCAAATAAATTGTTAAGTAACTTGCCCTAAATCACACCTGCAGTAATGGTGCAGGGTGCTCTGCTCTTCATAGCCCTGCCTTGCTAGCCTGCCATACAGTTCTCTTCAACTCAGACACTTGAAGGTACATCAACGATATAATTGAATTCTTCAGTATATGCTTAACAAACACTTGGTCTATGAAAATCATGTGCTTCAATGCTAAGTGTATGGAAATGAGAATTAAACTCCTGATCTTAGTCATAAGAAACAGACATGTGAACGGATAATGTGATCTGGATGAGTGTTACTACTGAGTGCCTTTCCTTTTTTAGCCTTGTATTGTCATTCTGCTAGATCATGAACTCCTTAAAGGACCCGGTTTTTGTGTGCCCCAAGTGCTTTGCATAAGTGTCACAAATTTTTTGAAGGAGGGAGTCATCTAACTTATTAAAAAATAGCAGTCAATACTGAGAAATATTTTAAGAGTTATTTATAAGTAACATTACCACAGCTAGTGTCTCCTAATTGGTGACTCGCATAGATAAGTTATGTGTGTGTGCTGTTTTTTATGTATAAAAAAAGCAGTAAAGCATTTGTTCCTGGGTATTTTTACAGAGCAGTCGACAATCAAGTGACTATGAGTCTGTTAAACTGTGAACGCAGCTGTGGGTCCAGCCAGTCTGAAAGTGACTGCTGTGCCGCCATGGCCAGCTCCTGCAGCGCTACAGCGAAAGATGACAGTGTAAGTGGTCCTCCCAGCACAGGGAACCTCTCCAGCTCCTTTATGGAAGAGATCCAGGGCTACGATGTAGAGTTTGATCCACCATTGGAAAGCAAATATGAATGCCCCATTTGCTTGATGGCATTACGGGAAGCTGTGCAGACACCATGCGGCCACAGGTTCTGCAAAGCCTGCATCATCAAATCCATAAGGTATGTGACATAAAAGAATGATGTCCTACAACAACCACATGCAGAGTTCATTACTGTGTCACACACAGGCCATTCCCAAGAATAGTCTCACACATACAAAGCTTTTTAGGAAAGAAAAGAACAGTGGACAGAAAGTACTGTAGTACAAAAGGTTGGCTTCTGTCTCTCCTCCTCCTCTGACATACAGATAATTAAGAAAATAGTTCCCTCTACTTAAAGCAGTTCTAATGAAGACTGGGAGTAATTCTTTGCCTTAAAAAAGATATTTTTAAACTGTGCCATTTTTTGTATGGTTTGGATTATCATTCCAGGAATTGTATAAATGATAAATTTAGCCATAGTACGTTCTGTTACACAGTGTCTGTAACTGTAAAATAGTATTATTTTAAAGAAAACATTCACTGAAGGGTCTACCTTCATTACCTGGATCCATAATCTAGTCCTCCTAGCTTCAGCTGCTACTGACTGGACTCACCATCAGCTCTAAAAAGACTTCCTTTTACTCTTGTCCTTCTCCATCTCGTTTTAGCTGCTAGAGTGAGCCTAGTAAATGAGTGAGATGATGTCATCTCTGCTGGGAGTCAAAGTCCTTGCCAGGTGCTGTAATCCTAGCTACTCAGGAGGCTGAGATCAGAGGATCATAATTCCAAGCAAGCCTGGGTAGAAGAGTCCTTCTGAGACTTTTTCCGCCAATAAACAGGAAGTGACACTGTGGATCAAGTGGTAGAGTGCTAGCCTTGAGCACAGAGAAGCTCAAGGACAGTACTCAGGCCCTGAGTTAATGAGGTAAAGCCCCACAACCAACAACAACAAAAAAAGTCAAAGTTCTTAAAGGCCCTGTGTGATAGGCCCATGGTTTGTTTTCTGAGCTCTCTGCTGTTCTCCCTCTCTTGCATTCACTTATTTGCTGTTCACTGAACATGTCAAGCAGATGCCTGCCTTGTTGAGTTAATTGCTTTAGCTGTTTTATCTGTGTGAGCATTCTTACCATAATTAACCCCTTGATCTCCCTCCAGTGTAGCTGAACTATCCCTCTCTCAGAGGTTCTCTGTACCCTGTTTTTACCACAGCAAGGTCATCCCTACTTTTAGCCCAACAGTCATACTTACCAGGCTCTACTTTTTTCCCTAGTACTTCTGCCTTCTGATATACCTTCATAGTTTATTACCTCCTCACCCTACTAGAAGATAAGCCCATTAAGAGCAAAAGTTTAGCTCCATCTTCATTTTTTTAAAATAAGATAATAATTTAATGTCTGAAACATTTTATCATTCTAAATGTAACAACAAAAAAAAGCCCAGAACATTGCAAATGGTGTTTAAATACAGAAGGTTCTTGAACTTTGATTGGTTCAGTTGTCTTTCTTTGCTAACACTGAACTATTTTATTTCTTAAGTGCTGATAATCGTGACGGGCCCACGGTAGGTGCTCAGTGTATTGCTGTTTTAACTTGGTGACTATACATGGGTGAGAAAGAGGCAGGCACTCCCTTCGACTGGTCCCAGCACCTAGGTTTCAGTCACCTCCCTGTAGGCCATCAGATTATGAGCCCATCAATGAAGTAATGCACGTGCTCCAATCACTTCCCAATATTTCTGCATTAAGGACTAAGCCATATTATTCCTAAATAGATTTTATTATTATTTCTAAACCCATTTTCTTCAAGTCCATGTCTGGCTATTTATTGGTTTCATAGGTTTTTATCTCTTAAGTTTTGGACTTTAAGTTAATACCTCAGACTTGGCATAATTTAAGTTACAAGGAACTATGTTCCTTATTTCAGTTTATGGGGGATATGTGTTGCTGGTTGTTTAAGATCTGTTCAAGATCTGTTTAAGGGAATTTTCTCATGCTTGGCACTGTTGATACCTTGTTGTGTCTTGTGTGTTGTAGGATTTGTAGCCATATGTTTAGTATATGTCTCCTAGATACTGGTAGTATCCACCCCCCTTCCAGCTGTGACCCACAGGGTCCTCTGGAAACAAGGCAGCCACTGATTAAAACCAGGAGCTTAGGATAAATAGGAGACCAGGGTTAAGGCTCAGCCTTTTTTTTTTTTTTTCTCTTTGAATGGTTTTCTTACTTGTAGTCTACTTGGGTAAAATGATACCATATTCTGAATTATCAAATGTCACCCATGTCCCAGAAGTAACTAACCTGTAACAGTTCTTTAATAGCAAAATATTCATGTTCAGAATTAGTGGGACAGTGATCTGAAAAGGAAACAGAACCCAAAGGAAATTTGAGGCTTTTCCCAACCTCCGTGTTCCTCTACCCTAGATGGCATCTGGTTTTGGCTCTAATATTTTTAAAGAAACTGCTCTAAAATTCCTCATTGGTTCTCGTCATTCAGAGAATCAAAATTCATTACAGTGTAATTCCATTTTCTTTTGGAGTGATGGCCAAAAGTATGGATAATAATTTTCAGTTTGCTTTGGAAGGTTCTTACTTTCTCTGAAGTATATATCACTATAGGTGTGAATATGCATTTCAATAAAGCTGTTCATGGCTTTCTATATTCTCCATGTCTTTGTCAATGTAATAACGCCATTATATAATCTGAGAGAGGACCCATAAAGATCAACGGTATCACTCATCATTGATTAGCTCTATGCCATTTGATAGCAGATGTCATTGTTTGTCATTTTTTTACCTACCACAGCAGTGAGCACTGATGAGCACAGAGGAGGTACTCAGCATATGTTAGAGTGATTGACACTTTGTCAGTGAAGGAGACATTCCAAAAAAGTTAAAAAGGAATGACACAACTCTATGGCAATTTTTCTCATCATGAAATGGGTAAAAGCATGGGAAGCCAAGTGCTGGTGACTTATACATGTAATCCTGGCTATTCAGGAGACAGATCTGAGGATCACTGTTCAAAGCCAACCTGAATAAGAAAGTTTTGCAGGTTTTTTTTTTTTGGGTCTGGTCGTGGGGCCTGAACTCTGGGCCTGGGCGCTGTCCCTCAGCTCTTCAGCTCAAGGCTAGTGCGCTACCATTTGAGTCATAACACCACTTCTGGCTTTTTTTTTTCTGCTTATGTGGTGCTGAGGAATCAAACCTAGGGCCTCATGCATGCAAGGCAAGCGCTCTACCTCTGAGCCACCTTCCCAGCCCCTTGCGTTTTTTTTTAATCATCAATTAACCACCAAAAAGCCAGAAGTGGAGCTGTTACTCAAGTGGCAGAGCACCAACCTTGAGCTAAAAAGCTAAGCCTTGAGTTCAAGCCCCAATATCAGCACAAAAAACAGACAAACAACCTGAAAGTAGGACATAAGTCCTTTAACTCCTTTGCATCCTGGATAATCAAATAAAAGAAACCTATTGTCCAGGAGTTAAGAGTATTACAGTGACTGTTTTCAGAGTAGACCTTGAAAAGGAGGACTTGTGAGGATAGCACTGATTGATAATTACCTTATAACTGAGCAATGTACCATAGGCATAATACAGTATTATAAAAATAGTCCCTCTTACTGTGTGGACTGTATCAAGGTCAGCTAGGTTGCTGGAATTCCCATTAACTCTCCCTTCATTTTGTGCCAATTAAAATAGGATTTTATTCAACGGCTTTTTCTCATTTTCTAGATGGAATCTATTCTTCCATCTAAAATCGGGCTTATGATAGGTAATCAATATGGTATTTATTTGTACACATTTCATAAAAGAATAATTAATGAACTATACATAAGAGGTCAAATGATTTTGGTGGTCCCCTGCAATCTAATATGTTCAGTCATTTTATGCAGTAAAGTTGATTTTTCTCCCAGGAATGTTTAAATCACTGGATTATTTCTTTTAGGGATGCAGGTCACAAGTGTCCTGTGGACAATGAGATCCTGTTGGAAAACCAACTATTTCCTGACAATTTTGCAAAACGAGAGATTCTTTCTCTCATGGTCAAGTGTCCAAATAAAGGCTGTCTGCACAAAATGGAGCTGAGACATCTTGAGGTAGTAAAGTTGTTTTCTAGTGTTAGCATGTATGCAAAGCAGTTTCTAGAGAAAGGGACCCTTGTATTTATTTTTACATTGGCTATACCTACTGTATGATAAATGAATAATTGGCTACTAAATTATTGAATTAATGCTAACCCTTTGGCTGTTAAATATATTGAACTTAAGAAGAAAACAATTTTTTTTTATTTAGAACTTTTTCCTAACAATAATAAAAATCAAATTTCCTGAAAGTTTTTGACATGAGCATTATCTACAAATAAAACTGATAAAAAAAAACTTTAAATACAAGAATCACATTTTAATCCTTACCTTTATTTCTCTTATTTTAAAAAGAATAGCATGTACCATGTACCCTCATGTACATTTCAGTATTCTTTTTCCTTCTCTCTGTTTTTCTGAATGGTCTTTTTTTTTATTTACTAAATTAAATGTTCCTATAGGTCAAAATGAATTGAAGAAATCATAAAGAAGTTGACTCTTAGGTTATGATAAATCAATTTTTTACTTTTCGTAGTTTTTACTAGAAACTAAATATATTTCAGGTTCTACATGGAATTTAGTGTTTAAGAGTGCTATGTAGGCTGTGATTTTTGAGTTAGCCCTTTTTAAAAAGACTGGTTCTTTTTTTTTTTTTTTTTTGGGTCCGGTCATGGGGTCTGAACTCTGGGCCTGGGCGCTGTGCTGTCCCTCAGCTCTTCAGCTCAGGGCTAGCACTCTACCACTTGAGCCACAGCGCCACTTCCGGCTTTTTTCTTTTTGCATATGTGGTGCTGAGGAATCGAACCCAGGGCCTCAGGCATGCAAGGCAAGCGCTCTACCACTGAGCCACCTTCCCAGCCCAACACTGGTTCTTTTAACAAGCACTAAATTGGTAACCTGGAAATCTGACTTCTCTCCACCTGTCTTCTAGAATTGAATGCATGAACTAGACAATTCACATTCTTTGCATAAACTTCCAATGTTCCAGTTCACAATGGTGTGAAAAGCCTTCATACTATGAATGGTTTTTTGGTATAAATTAGATAATGTAGGATTATGATTAATTCTGCTCAAGAGAACAGTATAAACTTAGAAGTAATTATCTTTAGAAAACTTGCTTAGTGTTGGCAGATAATAATTTTGTTTTCTGTATTCTAGGATCATCAAGCTCATTGCGAGTTTGCTCTTATGAATTGTCCCCAATGCCAGCGTCCCTTGCCAAAATTCCAATTTAATATTCACGTGTTGGAGGATTGTCCAAGAAGACAAGTTTCTTGTATAAACTGTGCTGTATCCATGGCATTTGAAGATAAAGAGGCATGTACTAATTTGGATTTCTTAATTCCAATACTTAGTTAAATTTTTTTAAAGATATATATTTTGAAGGCAGTAGCAGTACACACAAGTGAATGTACATTATCAGTTTTAAAAAAAATTATTTGTAAGAAACAAAGTTTTATTGAATCATTGCAAAAAAAAAAGGTACAGTTAATATTTGTGTATCTTTCTTAGAAAACATTCCTGCTGCTGTGAATCTTCCAATTGCAAAAGGCACTAGGAAAGAAATATGCTGCTTCTCTTTCCTGTATGTGATTTTTTTTTTTTCTGGTACTAGAGCTTGAACTGAGGGCCTCCCACATTTCCTGAGCTATTTAGCTCAAGGCTAGTACTTTACTACTTGATTTACAGTTCTACTTCCAGCTTTTTGCTGGTTAATTGGAGGTAATAGTCTCATGGACTTTCCTCCCCAGCCTGGCTTTGAACCAGGATCCTTAGATCTTAGTCTCCTGAGTAGGATTTCAAGAGTGAGTCAACTAGCACCCAGCAGCATTATATGAATATTAAAGGCCGATCTGATTGCTAACAAACAAGTAAAATGATTACTGTGTAAGAATTGTTGTGCAAGAGGGATTGGGATGTTAGAACCAAAGGGTAAATTCGCTCAAGCAAAACGTGTTCTGTTGGTAGTAATTTATTGTGCTGCATGCTATGTTCTTTTCAATATGTTTGTTATACTTTCATAAGGAAGTTTTTTTAACCTTATTTAAAAAATCTTTAAAAAATTTTAATGTAGCCTGAAACACTGTGATGATGATACAGTGTTTTTTAATGCAAAAACCAGGATATTGAATCTTCTTTTTTTTTTTTTCTTTTTTTTTTTGGGGGGGGGGGGGTGGGTCTGGTCATGGAGCCTGAACTCTGGGCCTGGGCGCTGTCCCTCAGCTCTTCAGCTCAAGGCTAGCACTCTACCACTTGAGCCACTTCCGGCTTTTTTCTTATGTGGTGCTGAGGAATCGAACCCAGGGCCTCGAGCATGCAAGGCAAGTGCTCTACCACTGAGCCACCTTCCCAGCCCCCAAAAACCAGGATATTGATAGTTAGAGTTTTATATTAATGTTGTTAATGTCAAAACCCAAAAGCTTAGTCTTTAGTGCCTGTCCTTTGTACTCCACTAAAAGAACCAACTATATTTCATGTTCCTGTATAACTGATACTTAGATCCTTCTGCAAACTTTAATTCTTTTAAATATTTCCCAGTTTTCTGTAGGCGATCAAACTTACTATATTTAGTATATTGATATTCAAAAAAATTCTGCTAAATGAAATTCTCCCCCTCATATAACTGATATCAGCCAATTAAAAACAAATAATTTGCTTACAGTGTAGAGAAGTTTCAGTCATCAGAGCAAATTGACATCAAGGTAAAACTGAGTAAATTAGATGGAATAGCATGTGATTCCTACATAACAGCTAAAGTCACTGTATTACAGAAAAATAAGATGAACCCTTCTGGGATTATCAGAACATGAGCACCAAAGCCTCATCCCCTAACGAGGCATTTGTTCTGTAACTAGACTGACGAGAATTGGCATTGATTTGTCATGCTGCTGCTGAAAAATTTGGGAAATGATTGCCTTTGGAAAAAAGAGAACACTGGTAAACGATGGCCAAACTAGTCACAAATAATCTGCCTCATATTAAAAGTGACTTTAAAAACCGTTTACCTGTTCGCATATTCTTTGTCTGAGTCAGAAGTCTGAATGAATCCTATTTATTACACTAGCAAAGGGAAAGAAAAAAATATCCTCCAGGTAGTGTTATAATACTATGGCTTTACACAAACCAATGTTCTTAATTTGTTCATAGTGAAAAAAGTACTTGTTTTGAAAAATTACTTTCTTTGTGGATTTTTTTTTCTTCTTCTTATGCTTCTATTTTTTCTCATTAAATTTAGATTCATGACCAGAACTGTCCTTTGGCAAATGTCATCTGTGAATACTGTAACACCATGCTCATCAGAGAACAGGTATACTAATTTCCTGTAAAAAGTAAAGATTTTTCAAATAATTCACAGAAGTGTTAGTATTTTTTTTATTTAAATCAATAAGACAAAATTAATACATTTTGAATAAGCTAGAACTGCAAACATTTCTCACATACATTAATGTAGTTAATAAATATATTAAAACAACAACATGAAGAACTTTTACAATTCCTAGATCATTAACATAATGCCTACATGTGTGTGTATTTATAAAAATTGCAGGGCTAGGGATATAACCAGGGTAAAGCACTCACCTAGGATGTACAAGGTGGTATATTGGGTTTGATCCCCAGCACCACCCACAATAGAAAGAATTCTGATGAAAACTGGATAATTGTAAGATAGAAACCATGGAAAATAAGAGCCCTGCTTAATAAAAAAACAAAAACATTTAGAAATACTTATTTACACTCTATGAAATGAAGATCTTAGGAGTCCAGAGACTGGCTGAAAGAATAACCTAACAATGAAATAGAAGAAAACTAATTAATCTAGTGGTACCTCCTGAGGCATACAGAAAGTTTTGAGATTTCTCTGTTCCTTTGTCATTTAGGCTACTGATAGGGCATCATCAGAGATAGTATTTATAATAGAAAACTGTTTTGGTTACTACTAGAAAAAGGAAAATTCCATCTGATTGCTAATTTTTTTTGACATTTGGGGAATTTACCCACAAATTAAAAATATTAGTTACTAAACCTATATGTGCACCCATGAACCAATAAACCCCACAGATCATTGAAGTAGAACAGCAAAACCTGTCATTTGACGACACTTCTCCATTTGTTTCTTTTGCAGGGGATTGGGGGTGGGGTTGGGATGGGAATTGTCCAGGGCCTTGAACACAGGGTGTAGGCACTGTCTCTGAGTTGCCTTTTTTTTTTCCCCCCTCAAGTTTAGCAGTTTACCACTTGAGCTACACTGTACTTCTAGCTTTTTTGGTGGTTAATTGGAGATAGAAATCTTACAGGCTTCCCTTCCAGGGCTGGCTTCAAACCAAGATCTCAGCCTCCTGAGTGGCTAGGATTAGAGGTGTGAGTCATCAGCACCCATCCTCCATTTATCTCTTAACAATGTCCTTTAGTTACTTTCTAACAAAGTCTTATAGGAAGGTGTGAAAGGTCTCCATTTATGAAGTCCCACTTCCCCTGGTTTTTCTTTTGTTCTCTTTTAATACTTGAAGCCATGCAGTATATTTTAAAACAAGCTAAGGTAAAATTTAATGTAGGATAAAAACCTAGACAAAGCATTGGAAAAGGTAGATTTGGGTCCTAGCTGTACCATTAATTTGCTCTCTGGTCCATAACTATTTTGTTAAATTTCTTTTAACAAAACAAAACAAAAAAGCTTGGCACTGTTTTTGTCAGTTTTTCTTTTCTCCCTTGTAGTGCTGAGGATTGAATCCAGGATTTCATACATATTAGGCAAGTGTTTTACCGTCACCGAGCTACCTTACAACTCTTGGCACCAATATTTTTTTTTTTTGGTCGGTCGTGGGGCTTGGTCGTGGGGCTTGAACTCTGGGCCTGGGTGCTGTCCTTCAGCTCTTCAGCTCAAGGCGAGCGCTCTACCACTTGAGCTACAGCGCCACTTCCGGTTTTTTTTCTGGTGGTTTATTGGAGATAGGAGTCTCACGGTCTCTCCTGCCCAGGCTGGCTTTGAACCGCGATCCTCAGATCTCAGCCTCCTAAGTAGCTAGGATTACAGGCGTGAGCCACTAGCGCCCGGCTGGCACCAATATTTTTTTAATGTGATTCTATGTAATAGATCTTACCTTAAAGAATGTATCCGTAAGGACATGAGGGCATCTGCCTGCAACATCTGTCATCCCATTGATCACTAGGGTTGGTCAGCTGATCCAACCAACTAGTCTAAGTGCCTTCTTCCTCACCACTTCATGTGCAATCCCATCTCAGCTTGGAAGTTGGGTCAAAGGATAATCTTCCTTGGTAGAGGGGAAATGTTCTTTGGTCAAGGGTATAGAAGCAGCTGCACTCTCCTGCTGGAATTTCCAAACAAGCTCTCAAGAATGTAACTTTGGCCAGGCGCCGGTGGCTCACGCCTGTAATCCTAGCTGCTCAGAAGGCTGAGATCTGAGGATCGTGGTTCAAAGCCAGCCCAGGCAGGAAAGTCTATGAGACTCCTATCTCCAACAAACCACTCAGAAAACAGGAACTGGTGCTGTGGCTCAAGTGGTAGTGCACTAGCCGTGAGCTAAAGAGCTGAGTCCCCAAATCAAAGGCTGAGACATTCTTTAAAGCTTTGATTAATAGCTAAGTCTTCCAGAATAACCAAAATTTGCACAGGTTAGCAAAAGATAAGATGATTCGTAAAAGGTTATGAGTGAAGTAATGATTCTAGTTAGTGACTTTAATGCATGCAGTTGACAGCCTAGACTACAGAAAGGGCCTGGTTGAGTCTGCAGTTGTAAGTTATCAAAAGTTGTATTTTTATTTTTAAATTGCCATTACAGGATGCCAGCTCCTAGCAAAAAGAAAATTTCATTTTAGGAAATAAATTTTAGTGAATTTTGGAGCGCATATCATGATATATTTTTTAGTATTTCCCTCAATTTTGAACATAAAAACCAATTTTTATTAGCTATAGGTTTCTGTCACAGTTTACTCAACTTTGCTGATGTAATCAAAAGTAGCCATAGGCTACTTTTTGTTAGGGTAAAATGTAAATTTCTTTTTAAGTATAATTTCATCAAAGTAGTACAGGACATGAAGGCTAAAACATTTTTCAACCTCTGTTTGGATTTTAAGATGCCTAATCATTACGATCTGGACTGCCCCACAGCCCCAATCCCATGCACATTCAGTACCTTTGGTTGCCATGAAAAGGTAAGTTTTCTTTTTTCTTTTTTTTCTTTGATTTCTTAAATATAAGAAAAGATGATAAATGATGTTGATATATAAAGTATACAGAAGTTAAACATAGATGTTACAAGCACACACATGCTTAGCCTACATGTTTTAGTCATGCTTAACCACAGCTAATTAGCCTGCATATTTTAGTCATGCTTAACCACAGCTAAGTGCATTTGGACAGATATGACAAAATAAGATGTGTAGGCTGAATATTCACAGATGAACAAAGTTGTTTAAAAAGACAAAAGAGAGCTGTCTAATGAGTGGGTAAACGTAGTGATTGGGGAACTACAGATAGTTTGTTTCATGTTATTCAACCTAACAGCAATTTCAGAGACTTGAAGTGGAGGTGGAAGTGAAAATACCTGAGCTTTCAGTAGAAAGACCCAAAATGAGGACAAAATCTAGGAGCCCAATGCATTTCTAGGAGGGAAAATGTATTGACTGTAAAATTCATTAGATATAGTGGGCAAAGGATAGGGAGCATCTAGAGAAAGTCTTGGTTTCCTGCCTTCATTCCCATATAATTGAAAAGAAGCATTTATCAAAGAAAAAAAAACAAAAAGGAAACAGAACTGTGGGAAAAATAATAATAATTCTATTTCTGAGTTGTGTAGCTGGGGATGAGAGTTCCCTTAGCTATAGGACATCTGGGCAAAGATAACTGTCAGACAGTATATGTGTGGTCTTAAGCTCCAAAAAGAAACAGAGACTTAGAATATTGATTCAGTATATGTGCTGCCAAAGCGAACACAGAATATTGATTCAGAAAGTAAGTTTTAGTGGTGATAGAAGATGTGATTGTGCATATGTGGAATTAGGCTTACATGGAAGAGAAATAGACCAAGGAAAAGAATCATAAGCAAGCAATAGTAGAAATAGGTAAGCCAGGCAAGGCAAATTCTTGTCATGGTCTCCCAAATCATCTTTAAGATTAGTGACCAGCAATGTTCAATATCTAACAGAGCATTATTTGTGGTAAGTCACTTTTGTTTCTTGAGAATGCCACCAGACTTTTTTTTCTGCTATAATCTTAAAACCTTATTTACAATTAACTTATATTTAATAATTTAGAAGACTAAAATAGTATGTAGGATGATTATATTTTGTTTGTGTGCATAGAGGAAAAGCCCTAAAGGAAACACATCAAATATTAATGAAGTTAGTTGAGATAATAGATGATTTCTTTTTAATCTGTATTTTCTGTTTCTCTATAATACTCTATAATATACTTGAATTTCTTTTATGATAAAAATGGTTAGAATTGTTTTACGTACAGCATTCAGGATGTTATTGATGGTCTTGGAATACTATGGAGACAGCATATTCCAATTTAAAATTGATTTGTATTGTAAATGAGGCATTGGGGAGAACCTGTTTTTGCCTGTACTGATAATTTTATATGGCCCATAATGATGTTATCAATATCCAAATGACCCTTAGAAGAAAAAATGTCCCTGACTCTTTTAATGCAAAGGGGAAAAAAATAAAAGACAAAGAATTCCTGAGTGCAGCATCTGAAGCGTTAAAAGGATTGATCTTGAACATGAGCAAAGTCATCTGTGAGTCAGCAAAGAAAGGTATTCGTGTGGATGAAAGGGAGATTTTATTCATCTGGTGGCCTCAGTTGTTTTTGTTTACTAATATTAAGAGTCAGGATCCTTTCAGTTAGTTCAAGAATCCAATGAGTGTCAGGTGCTGGTGGCTCAGGCTTGTAATCCTAGCTACTCAGCTACTAAGGCTGAGACCTTAGAGGATCATGATTCAAAGCCAGCCCAGGCATAAAACTATGTGAGGCTTCTTCTCTAATCATTAAAAGGCTGGAGGCATGCCTCAAAGTGGTAGAGCACCGCCTCACCTGAGGGCAAAACAAACCGATGCATTGTACCCACAAAAAAAAAATATATCCAATGAAGACAAAGGGAAGATAGAAGGAAGTGGTGGTGCTACTTAAAAACTCATTTGCGGGGCTAGGAAGGTGGCTCAGTGGTAGAGTGCTTGCCTTGCATGCATGAGGCCCTGGTTCGATTCCTCAGCACTACATCAGCAGAAAAAGCCAGAAGTGGCACTGCGGCTCAAGTGGTAGGGTGCTACCCTTGAGCTGAAGAGCACAGGGACAGCACCCAGGCCGAGTTCAGGCCTCACAACTGACAAAAAATAAAAATAAAAATAAACTCATTTGCTCTGGCTAGGTCCTTTTCCTGGTTGTCTCAATGTCTATGCCCAACCTAAGGTTTGTGCTTGGTTTTTAGATGCAGAGAAATCACTTGGCACGCCATCTACAAGAGAATACGCAGTCTCACATGAGAATGTTGGCCCAGGCTGTTCATAGCATAAACCTTGCTTTACCCTCATATGATACCTCTTTGCCACGGGCTTATGACCCAGATGTTCGGACCTTCATGGAAACCATTCAGCAGTTAGAAGGTCGCCTTGTAAGACAGGACCATCAAATCCGGGAGCTGACTGCTAAAATGGAAACTCAGAGTATGTATGTCAGTGAGCTCAAACGAACCATACGAACCCTTGAGGACAAAGTTGCTGAAATTGAAGCACAGCAGTGCAATGGGATTTACATTTGGAAGATCTGCAACTTTGGGATGCACTTAAAATCTCAAGAAGAAGAGAAACCTGTTGTCATTCATAGCCCTGGTTTCTATACAGGCAAACCTGGGTACAAACTCTGCATGCGCCTGCATCTGCAGTTGCCAACTGCTCAACGCTGTGCCAACTATATATCCCTCTTTGTCCACACCATGCAAGGCGAGTATGACAGCCACCTCCCCTGGCCCTTCCAAGGTACAATACGCCTTACAATTCTTGATCAGTCTGAAACACCAATAAGGCAAAACCATGAAGAGGTAATGGATGCCAAACCAGAACTCCTTGCCTTCCAACGACCCACCATCCCACGGAACCCCAAAGGTTTTGGCTATGTAACATTTATGCATCTCGAAGCCTTAAGACAGAGAACCTTCATTAAGGATGATACGTTATTAGTACGCTGTGAAGTTTCCACCCGCTTTGACATGGGAAGCCTTCGAAAGGAGGGCTTCCAGCCACGAAGTACTGACACAGGGGTGTAATATCCCCACATTTTATTTTAAAACAACAAACTATCTGGGAAAACAGTGCCTTTTCTTGTCTGTTGTCAATAATGATACGCAAACAAAAAAGCAATTGAAAAGATGTACTTCCACCAATGAATGTTCTACGAAAGGACACTTACCACTTCCTGATACACATGCATAAGGAAGTTTTTCTCCCTTGGGGATCACATTCCATGCTTTTTTTTCTACCATGTTCCATCTGAAGGCCCTGTGGAGAGCAGTAGCTGTTGTGTCAGAATACCTCTTTTGTTGTACTTTGATGGGCTGTTACGCCAATATGTGTGATTGTCAAAAAGTTCAGAATTGGAGCAGTATAACTCAGATCTTCCATAATAATAGACTTTGCTTTAAAACTTCAGCTTATTTTATAGTATTGTGTGTAATATATTAAATGCAAGAATCACTACTACCTGTGCTAGTTCCAACAGGAAGAGTTGTTGCTCTAGATATTGAGTTCTCATTTTATTTGACCTACTGATTGCCAAGGATTTGAACCACGATCCTTAAAAGCTCAAGTTCTCATTCATCCCAAATCCCCCTCAGGATATTAACTAAGGATATAATTCAGGGACTAGTTTAAACCTAAGCGTAGGCTTACTTGTTTAAATATAAATATGTTAGCTGTTAATAAGACTGGTGTTTCATTCATCCTTGCTTACATGTGTCCTTGAGGCCTCACAGTGGCAGCGTCCCCAGAGTTCAAAATGCTAAGTGCCTTGTGGATACCACCTGCTGAGTGCTAAACTATGTGAATTCTATAGCCCTGCAAATGTCTTCTGTTTATGTACACAAAATCACCAACATAAAAATTACAAGCTATCATCGAGCATATGGCATCTCAGTGATGATGACAGAAGCTATCTGAATCTTCCAGAAGCCCTCCAATTTAGGTAAAGAAAATGAAACAAAACTGATTTTCTAAAATCACTGATTCACACCTGTATTCCTACCTGGGAGGCTGAGATTAGGAAGATCATACTTTTAGACCAGCCCAGACAGAAAAGTTTGTGTGACACCTCCCCCCCGCCCCCCCTTTCTCAACTGAGAGCTGAATGTGATGATAAATGCCTGCTGTTACACTATCGGGAATTTAGGAAAGCCTAAAAGAGGTGGATAATGGCTCAGGCATGTTCCTGAGCAGGAGCATGAATCAATGCAAAAGAAGGCTTGAAGTATGGCTCAGAGGGAGAGCACCTGCCTAGCAAGCACAAGACCCTTGAGTTCAAACCCTAGTACTGCCAAAAACCAAACTTTTTTAAAACTTGGGACATTGTCAGAAGTCCCTGAGAGAGGTCACTCACTAACCCCAGGGTTAGACATCATAGTGGCTATATCATGACAGTTGAAGTGAGTTGCTTTAGTCAGCAGTTCACACTAGGTTCTGAGGCCCATCCTGTGGAATGTATTGAAGTGGCCAAATGTTCCTAGTAGAGATGATTTTTGTGCCATTCTGTATTTATTAAGGCCTGTATATATAAAATGCTATGGAATCTAGTTCTCAAAGAGTACCACACCTATAGGGTGAACTCTTAAGAATCTAAGAGGATCCATCCACTGCCGTTTACACAAGATTATTTAATGAGAGAAAATGAAAGATGGTATTGCACCTTTCAAGAGGCCAAAACAGCCCCAGACCACTGTTCAAGATCTGCATCAGTTTCAAGAGAATACTATGGACCTTCTCTGCCAAAACGACTCTAGTTTTCAACTCCAAGCAAGTATCACTTTGATCTTTCCCCTGTCTCCTCCCCCTCCCAATTTTTAGTCTCTTGTTAAAGTGGAACTAAGGTCAAGAGACCTTGTTTCCATATACTATGTCAATACCACAGCTTGTCACTAGCTACCAGGTTATTCCTGGACATTTGAGCCTCTTAACCATTCTTGTATACATCATTGCAACACCATCTTCTAGGTAGGGAAACCTGCCCTGCTGCTACTCCTCTGATTGTTTTCCAGTGAATAAATCATTATCAAATCCAATTTAAAAAGTAAGCAGTAGTTATTTTTGTATTTGTATAGAAAAAGCCTAAAGGAAATAAAACTGAACTGTTTTTGATGGCTCTGTTTTCTTTATGTGCTCTTGCATGATTTACATTTTTCTACTATAAATACGTATTTTTTATTCCCAGAAGAAAATTAACTTGCTACAAAACATCAAACTCCTCCTCCTCCCTCCCCCACACACACCTCTTTAAAAAAAGGAAATGATATTTAAAAACTTCCTGGTCAGATTTCTATTAAAAGCATGTCTGTATTCGGTACAAGAAAAGTCATTTCCTGCTTTATGTTTTATTTTTTCTTAATGCCTAAGGAATTTTAACTGCTTTTTGCTTACATTCAACTTCTTTGTAGCTTCATGTTTCCCATCTATAAAATGAGTAAAACTAGATGTTTCCCAGGTTCCCTCCCACCATTAAATTCTGTCTTCAGAAATTTAAGAACATTGGCAAAACACTTACCAAGAGATTTTACCCATAAAAAATTAACTTTCTCCTTGCTGACATTAATGCTTTATTTCAATTTAGTATACATCATCTGAGCCATATCTTAAGCAGTTTTGTAACTCCCAATATGTGGCACTTGGTAATGAACTGCTAATTTTTGCCAGTCATTTATTGTGAATGCAGAGTAGAAATAATCTTCAAGCTGTCATTCAAATAGAAAACCTTGGTAAGCTTCAATCAGAATCAAGTCTTAACCTAAAATGATGGTTCTTCATATTTTTAATGAACCTCATTTTTCTTTTTGGTACTCCCATTTGAACACTGGGCTTCGCTGGCTCTGCTGTCTGGATGCTCTACCTCTGGAACCACACCTCCTATTTCTCCAGCACTGCTTTTTGCTGGTTATTTGGGGAATGGAATTTCACAGACTTTTCTACCATGGCTGGCTGTATAATCCCCAGATCTTAACTACATCCTCAGCCTCCAAGTGAGCTAATGGCATCTGAGTATGGCCTCCACTCTTAAACATTTTAGTTTCATCCAGTTTATAAGCATTTGAGTATCTATAGGTTGTTTATTCAGATTTTTGCCAGTACTTGGAGTTGAACTCAGGCCCTGGATACTGTCATTAAGTTTTTTTGATCAAGGCTGATGCTCGACTGTTTGAACCATAGCTCTACTTTGGGCATTTTTAATGGTTAATTGGAGATAAGAGTCTCACGAACTTTACTGCCTGGGCTGGCTTTGAACCGCAATTCTCAGATTTCAGCTTCCTGAGTAGCTAAGATTACAGGCATGAGCCAACAGCACCTCGCTTTTATTTTTTTATACGCATGTTAACTGTACAAAGGGGTTTATTGTGATATATAATGTTTTGATCATATTTTCTCCTCTATTACTGTTTCCCCCTTTCATGTAATTTTTAATTTCAAATTAATTTTACACTTGTGCTAGATTTCAAATACAAAAGAAAACATGAGACAGCCATCTTTTGGCAGTAGTGAAATAGGGAAATCAGCTCTGGCCGGTGGCATCTTGACCACATGACAAATATATGGTCTAGCATCTTGTCTTCATGGTGGGAAGAGAAGCGCCCACCTCCCAGGTGATGGGCATGCTGAATCCTTGGAGGCAGGGTCAGCACTTAGCTGATAGGTTACTAAACCTGTCAGTCCAGTGCCTGGGACTGGGAGTTTTCCTGTGACCCTACCCCCTGGCCTGACCCTATGTAGGCCCAGACCAGCTCAGATGCCATTACTCCCTGGCACATGTTTCTGTGTTCCTGTCCTGTCTCCAGTCTCCTGATTGTTCTCCAGTAAACATGGCATCCCAATTCAGTTCTCTATTGGAGCTGAATTGGCTTATTGGTATTGTTCTTTCTTTCCTCTCTGGCCTACATGGCACAGTTTCCTAACAGTGTTAAGTGTTTGCTGGCTACTGGCTTTGAGATAGGAGTCCACTATGCAGTCGCCAGTTTTTTTATAAAGACTCCAAGATTCAGCCTCTCAAAATGTGGCTTCTCAAATGCTCAACCTCTTTAGCCATAAAAGAAATGCAAATCAAAACAACATTGAGATTCCACCTCACCCCAGTTAGAATGGCTATAATCAAGAACTCTAATAGCAACAGATGCTGGAGGGAATGTGGACAGAAGGGAACAATACTGCATTGTTGGTAGGAGTATAAACGTGTTCAACACTTTGGAAAGTAGTATGGAGGTTCCTCAAAAGACTCCACATAGAGCTCCCCTATGACCCAGCAATCCCACTTTTGGGCATTTACCCGAGTGATTACAAACAAGACCATACTAAAGCTACCAGCATAACTATGTTTATTTACCATAGCTAAGACATGGAACCAACCCAGATGCCCCTCAGTAGATGAATGGATCAAGAAAATGTGGTATATATACACAGTGGAATTCTATGCTTCCATCAGAAAGAATGACAATGACATCACCCCATTTGTTAGGAAATGGAAAGACTTGAAAAAAAATTATATTGTGAAGTAAGCCAGGCCCAAAGAAACATAGGTCCCATGGTTTCCCTTATTTGCAATAACTAGTATATGTCTGGGACAAGCAAAAAAGCTCAGATAAGATGATGTTAAGCGAAATGAACCCCAAGATAGGGACACAAGTGTTTTTTTTTTCTTCCTTGCTATTGTTTCTAACGTATTTATAAGGTACCATGTGATTTTTTTTTTTGTTGCTTTGTATGTCCCTCCCCCATGGTATAACCCCTGTTTTTACTGTATTTGATGTTGGTATAATTTGGGGAGGGGAAGGGAAAAAAATGTTTAAATAGGGATACAGGTGGACTCATTGCAACAATGAGATGTACAAGATGCTATGTCAAAAAATGAACTTTACAATTTAGGTGGGGGTGGGGGATGTGGGGGGGTGTATTTGAGAAGGTGGGAGAGAAGGGATGGTACGGGAAAAACAAAGGAGGCGGCAACAGTGCTGGATAAGAAATGTACTCATTACCTTGCTCATGTAACTATAACCCCTCTGTACAGTATTTTCACAATTAAAAAAACTTACTTAAAAAATGTGGCTCCTCTGATTTCTCTCCAACAGTAGGACATTGCTAACTTTTTAACTGTTTCCTCTATTTCCAGAAATAACCAATAGTGTGAAATTTGTTATACATCAGATATTTCGCTGTTGGATGAGTCTGGATGGTGATATGTAGGTCCATAGTTTAATGATGTTCCTTGCTCAGTACAGCAGACAATTTCTGGCTATTCTACAACTTTTATTTTGAGGATAAATAGTAGGAAAAGTATCAAGAATGAAAGGCGGATTTTTTTTTAATCCTTAGTGATCAACTGAGATGCTGGATGATGTCTAGCAATTAAGTTTTGAGATCCATGTAAAATTATGTTCTCCATTACTGGTTTTATACCAGTAAGTCACAGACAGTCTAAGAATATGCTTGTGAATTATGTATATAATTAGAAG